CTTAGGGGTAGTGATTGTGTTCAAGGGTTGGAGAATAGTAAATCGATCCACAAGGTTCAGGTATAATTAGAACGCGAGTAGTTCGTTAGATACTATTTTAAACTTACTAAGTCTAAGATTTATCCTGGGTCTGGTAAGAGGGAGGGTCAAGTGAAGGATGAATAACCGAAGTTCTTCACTGTTTATCCTAATTTGAATGATTAGTTTTGTTTAAAAAATTCTATTAGTCTTAGGTCTTTAGAAAGGGTTGGGTAGTGAATCGACGTTTGAGGTCGTTAGACACTAATTAAGTGGGTGGGGGAGAACAAAGTTGTTCTGTTTGATCCAAGGATAAGCCTTGATGATCAAATTTGAAATTTAATTAAGTAGAAAATGATTTAAGATCCAAGGATAAGCCTTGATGATCTGGTTTTAAAATTAAGTGAATTTAAGTTTTAATAAATTTTTAAATGTGTGTAAAGGAAAGATTTAGTGTTTTGATGATATTAGTGGGTTTATGATTGCTGTTATGTTTTAGATGATGGAGCTGGAACAACAGGATGATTTATGATTACTAACCATTTATTGTCATGCTACTAATTTTTATTTTTTATTTTTCAATAAATATTTTTCAAACATGTTTTGTATATTACTGCAGAATTTTAGGAAAACGATCTTAGATCTTTTTATCAATCGTTATTGTATATTAATAATTTTGTTTAGCGCCTGTAATGATTTTGAAGATTAACTTCAAAATTTTATGTTTGCAAATGAAAATCTAAATTCATTGCCAGTAGTATTCTAAATATAAAAGTTTGTTCTGGTTTTTGCCTAACTATCATATAGCTATATGGCAAGTTTCTACTTTGTCGTATGTCGTCTCTGGTTCGAGGTCTTCTTCCAATTCCGGGTAGTTCTGTTATGGTTCGGAATATTGGCTCTGATCTATTGAGTCGTAGAGACATTTCGATTAAATTATTGTCGTATAACATTTTGTAAATGTTTTTGTCTAATTTCTAATCTATTTTGGTTAATTCTAAGCTATTAAGGTCTTGTTCGAGACTTATGGTCGCACCAGATGAGTTAGGACCGAGTTGGTTAACTCATAGAGTAATTTCGGATAGGGTACACCGTCTGCTCGTCACGCTATCTTATTTTCGGCCGGATAGATTCGTGCAACTTCTTAGTCTAATACCGATCCTAATCTTACTCTTATACTATCTAGTCTCAGGTTGTTTAACTAGTCTCTGCTAGGCTCAATAGATCTAGGGTATACTGGTTTATTGCGGTTGCTGAAGTGCTCGGGAGAGTCCAACTAATTTCTAAGTTAAATTCAAATCTCTCTGGTGCTGAAATTACAAGTAACTTCAGCACTTACAAATAAGTGGGTTGTTAGTTAGATGGATCATGATTGGTTAATATTAAATACTTTTCATTGGTAAAACATTTAATTTATCCAATCATAAAATATAGTTTAGATCAGGTTCCACATCTTTTTCAAGGAAAAATAACTAAAGAGTAAATTGGAGCTTTTCAACTACTCCAGTGCCAATAAACTCCCAAATATCAAACGAAGATGACAATAATTCAATTCACAATTCAACTTAACAGATGCGACAGACATAATTCTCTGTGCTATTCTAAATTTCACGACATTCGTCCCGTTCCACCTACACCACCGAAGCAAAAACTACATGATTCGCAGTCAGCATATTATGTGCTCTCCTACGCTCCCTTCCAACCCCCGATTATGTCGTTAAACAGTAAACCTTGGGGAGATGATTCATGATAAGCTGTGGAAAAACTTTATAAATATAGAAATTTAAATTTTCACTTAATTATAGATTTTGATTTTGCTTTATTGTTGTATTTAGAATGGACTGAAAAAAAATTCGCTGTCGGAGATGCAAAAAAAATGGTCAAGGACAAAAAACAACGCCGACTAAAACCTTGAATTTTGAGATTGTCAGTTTATACAGCAGAAGCGAGATCCTGTTCAAAATTGCGAGCCACAAGCCCTGGAAACACGCATGATCCTTATTTCTGTCCACACCGCAGCACATACGACTGTGGGAGAGCAAGGCGATAAGAATGAAGATGTCGATACACTGAAGAATGTATCCGTTGAACCCAAACTGGTCTTGAAACTGTCTTTCAAATTTCATGAGGATTAGCGAAAAAATGAGCTATTCTAGTCCATCAAAATCCAAGGCCAGAACAGAAGAATTTTACGGAAGACATGAAGGCAAACAAAAACTGAGAGGCATCCCAAATATCATCTTTAAATGGAATGATTATTGTTTTTTTTCGGAATAAAACTGGTGCGCCCAAAAATCATTTTTCCCTTTGTCACTTTCAGTAATTCATGAAATCATTACGAGTTCAAACTGTGTATTTTGTGAGTTTTAAGCGAATTCCGCAATAGATCAAAAACAAAACTGTCGCGGAATCCGAAACGTTGCTATTTTTGTTTGATCTTTTTTGCTGTTTTGAAACCAACAGACAAATAGCTAAAACACTCTAACGCTCAAAATTGCTCCAAAAACAGGCAACAAAATTGCGGAATCCGGGACAGTTAAAAAGTTATGATTTATATTTAATTTTTTTGTAAGAAAATTTGGAATTCAGAACAAAATAATTGTATAAATGAAGAGAACAATTTAAGGTTCAAGTTATTCTTGTCTTTTCGTTCGTTATATGCATGGTTTTTATGACAACTTGTTTCCTCCTTAATTTTTTCAAATCCTGGCCATCTTTTTCAAGGAAAAATAACTAAAGAGTAAATTGGAGCTTTTCAACTACTCCAGTGCCAATAAACTCCCAAATATCAAACAAATATGACTATAATTCAATTCACAATTCAACGCAACAGATGCGCCACACATAAATCTCTGTGCTATTCGAAATTTCACGACATTCGTCCCGTTCCACCTACACCACCGAAGCAAAATCTACTTAAACTGTCCACCTACACCACCGAAGCGTAAACTTAAACTGTCGTAGAATCCACAACTGTCAGTGAAATCCGCAAACTGTAAACGAAATCCGCCAACTGCCAACCGAACCCGCAAATTGTAAGCAGAATCCGCACAAACTTGCGGAATCTATTTTTATTTGCGGAATCCGCTTACATTTGAAGCATCCGGAACAAATCAGTCACTCATGGCGCATTCTGCAACAAAACTAATGTGCCGACAAAATTGATGTTACAATTATTTGTAAGCGCAATCCACAAAAAATTTATAAAGGCAACCCACTTACATGTTGAAACATGTGTAAAATTTGACTCTGGAATCCAAAAATATAGAGACATCAATTTGTGTGCCTATCAAGTGCTTATTTCAGCCTCTTAATGATTCACTTGCCGTGTCGACAAACAAAACAGCTTATCGTACCATTCCATATATTTCCATAGACTAAAAGTTTTGTATGAGAAAACATTTCAAGCATTTTTTTTAATCATTGAGTTGCATAAAATTTAATTTTTCTGAACGTTCCTTTGGGTTTTGCTCTACAAAATCAACTTGCAGTAGATCAATTAATCAAAATGTACAACAAATTTTATCGGAAACGTAAGAAAAAAATTCGGAAACGTAAGAAGAAACTTCACAAAAGCTAAAAACTTGAAATTTTTTTGATAAAATTTCACAAATATAGCAGAAACCCAAATAGCCGTAGGACGAAATTTTTTTTCTAACTGCCTACAAACGATTTATTTATATTTTAAGATATGAAGTCACTTTAAAGTTTTTTTTACTAATAAAAACTTTTAGGCTTTTAAAACTGTTTTGTTTGAGAAGTGTAGAAAAGGCCAAATTACCTATGTGAAACTATAAACTCAAAAGAACTAATCATCAAAAGATGTTTTCAATTTTTTGTATAACCCACCAGTCCTGGATACACCAAAGTTGGACTTATTTTTCGTTTTGCTGGATACTGTTTTTAAAACCTCTCAAAATGCGTATTTGTTTTGTATAGCATGTTTATGTATGCCTTGATCAATGCCTGACTAAAAAAAATTCAAACTTTGGCAAAAAAAATCATTATTGGAAGATTTGGAAGACAATTACAGTTTTTTCTATTTTTAGTTTTCAGTAAGCTAAAAAGTCCTTGTCACTTGTGTTCGATAACGAAAACAACCCAAAAATTGAAATTTAATAAAATAAAAAAGGGTTTTCTAGCTTAGGGAAAATTTCTAGTCATACAAATTCTATCTTTAGCATTTTTCCGGGTTGCTTGAAAATGTTGCATTTTTGTGAGTGGATGAGGCCTTCCATTTCGACTTAAAAAATATGAAAAAATTGCATCACTTGAACTGTTCTCTTTAAAAGTGTCCGCTCAAGATTATCGGAAAAATTTCGAATCATTTCACTATTTGGTTTTTTGTATGTTGACCCGCCTTTCATGGCTCGCCTTTTCACCGTTTTAAGGTTAGTTCATTCTTTAAGTACTGAGAAAGAAGGGAGGGGGCTAATTTGAAAAAGGATCTACCTTTTGATACACTAAGTGGCTATGAACAGAGCATACTTGGGTACTGCGCAAACATCCGATATGTCGAACATCGAAAAACCAAAAAGTGTTGCAAACAACCGAAAAATTGCTTTACTAGGGCAAACAACCGACATTTTATAAAAACGTAAATCGAAGATCCGATTTCTACCGTTCGCTTGAAAGATGCTGTATTGGTCGAATTAACTTTGACCGGGTTGCATGCATGACCGGGTTAGTTGACCAGCCATCTATGGCTCGCCTTTCTACTTTTCTTGGGTGACTTCATTCTTTAAGTAATAAGAAAGAAGGGAGGGAGCAGTCGCGTAAACGTGTGGCGAGTTTGACAACACATTTAGATACTTAACCCAAGAACCGGCTATAAAAGAATTGGCTAGTAGAACTATGTTTTGTGCTTGATATTCTTACGTCATATTATTACGTAAAAATTACATAACTTCGGATGTTTGACATATCATATGTCTGCCCTAGACCCATCATACATAAAAGGATGGAGAAACGAGGCTACTAACATGGTGCAGTAGTTGGCTCCATTTGGGTTCTCCTGTTCGAAAAAGAGAAAAGGACAACTGTCTTCCACACACATGCCCCCCAACTGCAACTTCCTGCACTCGATGCAGTCGGAGATGGAGGGGCCTTGGCACCTCAGACACGCTATGTGACACAAACCACACTTGTGCTGGTTGGATGTTCCGTTATTATTATTGTTATTATTGCTCTCTGATTGGTCAGCAACTGACTCTGGAGCAGGATTGTGGGGATCTGCTGCAGTTGTGTGACTGTGCTGGTCAAATGTACCTGGCCACGGACATCTCATGTCCAGCACCTTCTTCTTCGTCTTCTTCGTCTTCTTCTGTTTCTCACTCATATTCTTCTCTCACTCATAAAATATTTATCAAGTCCACAAAGCTATTTACTTCTTCTGTTCTCCATATCCTAAAACATTACACCAAATGTTTACTATATGCCACCCAGCTTTTTCCATTAACACAATATATGAAAAGAGAATCACAAATGAGCGAAACATTGAATACACATCCAATTTACAACTTGATGTGCATTAGCGCTACTTGAACTTTGTTTGTGTAAAATGCCCAAAACAGACCAAGGGCTTCAAGAAAAAAAAGTAAAAATGGTTTTAAAAAAGTCATAGTCTTATTAAAAATATGTTAATTGTTCAATTTTTAAGTGCCAAAAAACAAGTTGCTCTGAATCAATTTTGGCAAATTTTAAAGCAACGGATGTTTTATCCTATACTTAAGATCAATTTGTACGATTAAACCAACGCAATGAGAATAATTAGAGATGAAGAAAACCCGGGTTTTTGTTGTAAGCAGCTGCTTAATCTACTGTCAAAAGGGATATTACTGTTAGCGATCTTTTAACTTTTATGTTGCTTATTCGCTTATGTCAATAGTTAACACCTGCCAAAAGCGCAACGACTTTTGGCATATCTAAAGTTGAAGTCACTAATTATAAGCTGGGCCAACCTGAGGCAGAATTAGTTAGAGATATTTTTATCTAAAATATGCGAAACGTCGAGATTCAAAAAAAAAACTATGTATCGAATATTTGATCATATATTGACCTAATATAGTTGATCAAAATCCAACATTACCCGAACAAGAAAACTACAGGGCCAACCCGCAGGATAATCCCGAGTTTGAAGTTGATCTGGAAGACTTCCTAGTCTTAGCGGTGGACATTGACAATCAAGTAAGCGTGGTGAAAGACAAAATCGAAGGGGGAGTGAGAACTGTATTCAATCATGAAGGTCGGGAACTGAAAAAGACACTTATTGAATCAATGGGAAAATTTAACCCTTACTTTACCGAAATACAAATTGATTCAGCAAGTTCAGTTTCGTTTAAGAAGAAAGACCTACTTCATAATTTGAAAAAAAAGAGACAGATTTCTAAAGATAGAAGCAGTCGACAAGTTCACGAAAAAAGCATATCAAGGCTTCGGGAGTTAGATAAATATCATTGGAAAAGTTATAGTGAGGATTCAATCTGAAGGGTGGGATGCCAAGGATCAACAACTGTTTATCACTGAAGGGGCAGAAAGAAATCTTCTCGGAAATTTTATACTACCGAATTTAGGAATTGAGGTCCTAGAGAAGCAGCCACCGCCCACAGTGTTAGACGTACTGAAGACCCCGGGCAAAACCACCCATCGGGATAGATGTCAACCAGATAAAATTTGAAAGAGACAGACAACCTTGCCAACACTTAGACACACCACTTCTACGTGAGTTCAAATTTTATAGATCGGGCCGATTTCTCGACCTCTTAAGAAGAACCGGTAGATCAAACAATTTTATCGTGAGCACCTATTTTAATGAGCCCATAAAGCCAATACCGGTAAAAGGGAAAAGCATACCGATCCACCTACTCCCTAAAGTGAAATTATGCATCGATCAATTACTTAGAGATGGACATATCGAAACATTGTCCAGATATTTGGAAGACTGTTTTATCTCCCCTATCGTCATCACAGCAAAAAGGGACGGATCAATCAAACTGGCCTTAAACTCAAAACTACTCAACAAATAGATATTTCGTAACAAATATCAAATGCCTAATCTGTTCGAATTAATCAATAATGTCGCGGTAAAAATTAGTGGATATGACGAAAACAAAATTTGGTTCTCATCTATTGACCTAAAATATGCATACAGCCAGATAAGTATTATCTGAAAAAGCAAGTAACCAATACAGTTTTAACATCGTGGGGGAGACGTTACAGGCTCATATCGCTTTAAAACTGCATTTTACGGACTAGGCGATATGCCTAATGATTTTCAACGTTTCATGGACCGTCTGACTGGAAAGTTACCTATTAACGTTTGAAAACGTTATTAACGTTTGAAAAACGTTGGACGACTAAGACTAGCCATAAAATGGGAAAATTGTACATTGTTGACGCATAACATAGAATGCCTAGGATTCAAAATCGACGCAGAGGGGACAACTCCATTAATACACAAATCAGACGCAATCAGAAATTTGAAAGAACCACGTTGCATTACAGACATAAGGTCGCTAGAGGGATCAATTAACCAATTCAAAAAATTCATCCCGAAAATAGCATTACTATTCGCACCATTTAGAGAACTAATGCAAAAGAATAAATAAATTTATTGGTCCGAGGTACAGGTTGAGGCGTTCGAAAAAATCGAGAAGGAAATCTGCAATACGGTGACAAATCATCACTTTGACGTTAAACTAAATACAAGAGTAAAATGCGATGCATCACATCTAGGAATGGGCGCATCCGTCGAGCAAGACCATGGGGGAATTTGGAAGACGGTAGCGTTTGCGAGTAGATTCCTTAATATAGCCGAACTAAAATACGGCCTGAACGAACTTGAAATGTTGGGCTTAGTTTAGGCGTTAGACCATTTCAAGAACTTATTGGGTAAACAGTTCTCTAATTTAACCTATCATAAAGCCTTAATAGGGGCTTTAAAATTGATAAATATACGAATACGGCTCAATCCCGCCTCACCCGTTGGGCGGATAAAGTGTTACCATTTGATTTTACAGTTGAGCATCTCCCGGGTAAGGAAATGGGATTCATGGACTATTTTTCTAGAAACCCATCGGGCGAAACCTTACCAGTCTCGTACGATGACTAAAAATTTGTTATTGCTTCCGTCAATCAAATAAGCACTCTTCTAGGCTTCGAACATCTGATGCCTAGATATTCTCATCAGCAACTAAGGAACAAATTTTCGCAACAAATTTTCTCTCATGACGTCATATAATGCAACACGATGGACCAATCAGCTAATAATATGACAAGTCAAGAAATAGAACTTGAGAAACGAATTGCGAATGCTGCAGAAACTTTGCAAGCTATATTTACACATTCCAAAATTTCAGTGTGTCAAAATTTACATTCACGAACAGAAAACTGCATTCCATCTTTTAAAAATATCGATTTTTCTACTAACTACAAAACTTTAAGAGACAGGTCTGATGAACATGAACTAACCTAACAACCTAAAAATTCAACTGTAAAAAAAGCTCAAACCTTAAAACCCAATACTAGCAACCCGTCGCGCACATCTTCTGAGCAAACTTTCTTTAAAGAAAAAGTTCCAAGCCGGTTAAACATAAATTATTCCCGTTCTCATGGCCCGAAATCTTTGATTCTAAGATCATGGCATTATTAACAAAGCAAGACCTTGTGTTAAAGAAAATTTTAAAAGCAATTGAAGAAGACAGAAAACATGACATCGCAGAACTCGGAAACTATTACAAACCTTACATCAACAACTTGCACGTTAACTAATGCATAAGAATAAACAATTTAATTGGTCCGAGGTACAGGTTGAGGCGTACGGAGGATGCCTTTACTTCGACGATAGATTAGTTATACCAGCACGACGATGTTACACAGGTTACATGAAGCTCACCCAGGCCAGTTTGCGATTAAAACGTCAGGCAACCCTCTACATCTGGTGGCCTAAAATCTACAGAGAAATTCAAGTACATGGAGAGAGTTACATCGAGTGTGTGAAATCGGGTAAAAACTTGAAGCCTCTGACAAGACATGATAAACTTGGAAAACTTCCAACGGTCGTTGAACCCAATCAAGAAATCGAATTGGACTTTGCCGGCCCGTTATCGTTAATTTGGGGAACGAAAAAAACACATACTCGAATGCACTGATCGATTTTCAAAATTCCCATCGGCAGAAATAACATCACGAACATCTGCCAAATCGGTCATCAACTTTCTTAGAAAATACAAATCTTTGCACGGAATACCCAGAACTATTAGAACGGACCAAGGGTCGGGATTTATTTCTAAGGAAGTCCGAGAATTTTGTCAAGAACAAAACATCAACGTCATAATCAGTCCAGTGGGTGACCATAGAGCTACGGCTCTGGTCTGGCGACTAATTAGAACAATTAAAGAACGACTCATGGTTATGCCACAAGAAAATCCGAAACCTTCCTTAGAAGTTGCATTACTAAAGATCTTAAAATGCTTAAGAACGGTAACACAACAATCACTAAACTGCTCCTTTTTGAAGCGTATTGTGCCGGGACAGACCAAATTACTGGGATTCCCCTGATGACATAGAAGACAGACACCTGGATGAAGAATCATCATCATCCGACAATATATCTAATGCAATTAGATATGTACCCAGAAGCTCCGGTTCCTCTGTCAAAGTTCTCTCTCGCGCAGAGAAAAGAAAAGCTCTAGGTATGGAAAATCCCGTCTTGAGTTACCCGTCGGGTAAGACCCTTATCTATAGAAAAGTACAAGATAGAAAGAAGGACGAACTATACTAGAGAGAGCTTAAAGAAGAAATAGTAAGGGAATCGGATCATACAATTACGCTTAAAAACGGGAAAATAATTCGTAAATCTGATTTAGCCGTGAAAAGAACCTCTGCACCGAAGAAAGTTAGTTCTAGCAGGAAAAATCAACTCGTCAAGTTCTATGCCACCAAAGGACCCAGGAAAGTCACAAAATCAGCGAGAAATGTTGGGTTTAAGACCTCCAAATCTACACAAAAGAAGAGAAACTTACAGGCAAAATTTGAAGAACTGGATATCTCAATACGGAACGTGGCAAGGAACAGCTCGATGGAAACACTGCTTCGAGAGGGTGAGGAGGAAATAAAACGTTTAAGGTACACTATTGGCCTAGAAAACATCCAAGAAGCAAGCCCGCCGGGCCAACCCATCCGTCTGCAAACAATGAACACACCCGAAATACGTTTGACAAACCCACCTACTGAAATGATAACTGATGACGATGCCAGTGAACTTATCCTACTTAAAGGTCTGAAACCATTAGTTCGATTAATTTAGAAAATCGACAAGAAAAATCAGCGCAAGAATCAACTAACATCAAACAGGAAATGCCCCGAAAAGACGAAGTAAACATAAAGAAGGAGCAAAAAGTTTGTCA